TTTTTTTTGTTATTCGAATCGGTGTTTGATTGTTATTATCACGAATGATTTCAAATTTCTTCAATGTCATTCTTCTGATCGATCGGCAAATGAAAATACTTGAAATTTAATCGATTAATTAGATGAGTACATTTCAGTTGATTCGCTTTCATTTTCAACATCACAACTTGTTATTTATTATTATCGAATGCATGCAAAAAGCATTCTCTTTCTTCGCACAACTTCCACTCAACGATCAATTCATTAACGCCTCTCTTCTTCACCGATATCAAATCAGGCACATTATTTGTTCGATCATATGTTCATTGAATAGGTTCATTCAAACTTCATGTCGAATATTCCATCTATTTCGATCGTTAAAGTGCATCTGTTTGAGGTTCAAATTGCTATAAGAATAATACTTGAAACGAGTATTGCCTGTTGACAAAGTCAACTTTGGTGTTATCGTTATGTTAGTGAACTAAAGGAAAACATGTTCATTCATCAGTGTGATCGTTCGCCTGATGCCATTCTTTGGAGTAGCAATAAGTATTCGAAGGTTGCTATACGAAAGTACGAATTCAAAAAGTGCTCAGTAAAAACGTTTGGCATCAGGAAATTGACTTCACCTTACGAACGTTATTTTGAAAGATATTCCTTATATTTCCAAAGAAATGAAAAATTACGCGATTCATCAATTTCTTATAGTAGAATTCGGTTATGACTCATCATCTGCGATCGGTTTTTGGCTTCGTTTTCATTGCGATTGAAAAGCATTCGCAGCACCGTTTCGTGAACACATTTTATTAATTTAAAAAAGATTTTCACGTCAACTCGTTGAACGTCGTATCATCCGATGTAGCGTATCATTTGTGACGATGTTGTGTTGCTTTCGAAGAAGTTTCACACGAACTTCGATTCATTTTGAAATCGAGTGCATAGTTACTCACTGTATATGCACTATATATTTACTTCATGTCACATTTTCGATTAGAGACCGTTATTTACAATGTAGGATGTGGGTGATCTATAATTTTGGCTCCTTTGAAAGAAGGACGTCAATGGAGCTAAGAGACTAGAATTCATAAAAAGTGCGACAATTCTTATGCTTATGAGGTCACTGATCAGCAGTTGAGAACAACATTTGAGTCCACCCACTTCCAACAACATTAAACAGTGACAGTTCCAATACGTCACATGTGGATCACTTCAGCAACATACGTGTATAATGTGATGGACTTATGATATTTGATCGTCCGGAGAATAGATCCATATTTTGGAGGGGTGGGGACGAGGGTTGGTGGAAGGTGTCTGCGACTGGACTTTGTGTCTTCGAATCATTGAATATTCTCAGTAGAACATCGAAGACATATTTCTCCTTCGAGTTCATTGTTAAACTTGAAATAATACATATAAAAGCATTGACTGTCTCTTACTTCTGTCAGTTCAACAATATCGCAGCTGTTTTCGTTTCATCATCATTTTTTGCCCCAAATCAATTTTTTTTGCTGTTCCTCCTCAACTCAATATCTGTCTTACTGAATGCATCTGAATTTTTTCAGATTCAATCTTACGTAATCGCCAGTTCAAAATCATCCGTCATGGTTAAACTGATGTGAGTCAATTTACAAAAACTTTTTAAAAAATTTTCATTACAGCTTCCTCTCTCTATGAACATTGAACAGTGACAGTTCACCTCCTTTAATTGTATGATTACGGGGCAATAACAGCTGAATTCATTCGGAATTTATTTCGATTAATTCTCATTTCGGTTCCTTCGGTGTGAATTATAATATTTAACAATGATCGATGCTGAACACAATCTGTCGGCAAATGGCTTAATATCACTCGCTCCTTTTGTTCAGCGAATTCGAATTCACTTTAAGAATTTCTCCAGGAATCCTCATCAGTTACAGAAAATAAATCTATGGAATATACCGAGGCTTAAAACAAAAAAAAACATAGGTCGAGTCGAGGTTGTTTCTTCACTTCTCTCGGTCTTTTCCTCTTCCATGTTGGTACGTCTGGGTGCAACTCATTCAGCATGATTTTAGATTCAACCAAAATTGATTATCACTTATTTAGACNACCTTTCAGGATATTCATTGTGGCTATCACACTGCCAACTGCTACAATCAGTGTTGTTACTTATCAAATGATAAGTCAGATCAATTTGGGCAGACCAATTGGTGGTAGAACGTGTGCTGTTGAGGTTCTGAAACTATTTCACTTTTAAACGATTTGCTTGAATTTCTGTAATGTCGCTTACTGTCGAAATCTCAAGCAATTTAATCGATTGCTCTCTTTTTAATTGGGCTTTTTTTTAAGTTTAGCATTCAGTTGCTATGAAGTTAGTTCATCGCACAACTTCAATCATAGACACTATCTTTTCATACTTTCAAGTGTAAACATGGTAAAAATGGAAAAAAAATCATGATGATATTCGCATTCACAGAAATTAATGAATGATCCATAATACTCGTGATACTATGAAAGAGATTTTAGTCGTTTTGAATGCTGATAACAGAAAAAAATAAATGAATCGATCACGATAAATTGCTTCTTTCCTATCGCAACACAACTGATCCTCTTCAGAAACGTCCATCGGTTGAAGCTTTAGTATAATACAGGTTTGAGAACAAAACAGCTCTCAATAACAACAGAAAATCTTTGTAGTGATATTCTCATTCTTAAAATCAGATGTTCCATAACATTGTTCGTTTTTTGTTTAATGCTATCAGTGTGGTATCATGCTGTCTGAATTTAAATCGTTATTCAATCTAAGTGCATTACACTAAAGCGAATCTAATGGATTTCATTGTTTCAAGTTAATAACTTCAGAACAATAATCAGCTGATGATCAACGGTAGATTCGTTCGTTATTTGAACGCTAACGATCTACGACAGCTCGCAGATTATCAAAGGAAAGTGGATCATTGGCAGAAGAAACTTGACCTGCACATTGAACATGTAATCAGTTTGCATTCATGTGAATTATCTAACAAAGTCATGGATGTCATTCGTTACTGATTTGTTGCAAAACGTTAAGATTGTTACAGAATGTAATGTCACAACCTGTAACTGCTACAAATTTGTTACTGTTACTGCTTTAAAAAACAGATTCCAGTTTGGATGCAGACAACCAATCGTCATGTATTTAATATAATGACTTTCAGCGAGTGAATGCTGGTGAAAATCAGCGACGACAACAGATGAATGCGGCATTTGGTCCAGACGGTTCGTATGTTAAAAGTTTTAAAGGACCATTCTGGGAAGAACAACACCTGAACACTCCACCGCCCACCACCCTACCAACCTTCGCTCCCGAACAGATCGCTGAGGTTCCAACAGAACAGTACCCTGATCCACCCGCATTTTGCTTGCAGTAATCAACAGTAATCCACCCGCATTTTGCTTGCAGTAATCCACCCGCATTTTGCTTGCAGNGCAATTAATGCATCATATTATCAAACAGTGTGTTTGTTGTAAATGAATTCCTTTTGAATATTCATATAAATTGTTTCGTCACGATTGTGTATTATAACTCCAATTGAGAATAAAACTTTATTTGGTGACAAACGCATTTTGAGATCTATTCGTTCATCTCGCATTCTCATCATGACAAGTGCCTCACTGAAATAACAAACGAAAAAATTCAGTTGCCGCTTTTTGTCTCAACTTCCGAAGAATTACTTATTCGGATTCTCCTTTCGCTGTATTTGGCAAGTTAAACGTTACACTCATCTACTCCTCACTATTGCAAGTGCTTTTGAGATTCAGCTGTTCGATGTGAATTTCTTCAAATGATTGATGCAATTATCCGATTCTATTTTATTCAACAAAAAAAACGATAATTTATGAGTAAATAAGAGCAACATTACAGAGAATATATAATATGCAGATTACAACATTACATTACATCTTCGTTTGAAGCGAGTGCGTAATAACAGATCATGGAAATGCATTCATCGAACAGAAAAAACGATAAAGTATCATATAACTGAGAAGATCATTTGAATGAGATTTTTCAGTCTCATGTGATGTTGAAGTAAAACAAATTCAGATCTACTTCTGAGGACTGCATACAAAATTGCAAATCCCAGGGCTTTTCAAGCCGTTCCCATTAGCCAAGTCACGGATCAACACCCTGGAATTCTGCTAGAGGTAGACTCTCCTATCATCTGAGAACTCCTACTATAGTGTTTGATCTGAAGTCACGAATGTGAACACAGCAAAATCACATGACATATACGATGATTAAAAGCCATTGTTGATCAATTCATTTCAAACGGAACAATAAAGAACCCAATAAAATCTGATCATAAGCGCCCTCAGAATATCATAAAGCAGATAACAGCGGTACAGATCAACAATATGAAGTATTTCAGCAATAACAACAACAAACAAAATCCGATAAAGTTCTGTACAAATAATTGAATCGATTTTAAACATGTAATTATAAAAGTACGACGGAATTGTACACGATACTGATCAAGACAGAAAGCTTCGTTGCAATTGGAATATATTCGACATGCAAAAATTGGTTGATACTGATCAATCATAAAAATATAAAATGATATCAGAGTTTAAAGGAAGACAATATCAATTGAGTATAAAAAAATCTGCATTGTTATGACAATGTAGAGCGAGGTTGAAACGACACAATTCATTACATATAATAGAGTCCATTTGTCAATATTCAAAGTTTATATTTCAAACAGACAACGTAACACTGAACA